TGAATTCGCGAATATTCCTAAGGATCCCAAGGAATCCCAAGGACCCTAAGGAATCCGAAGGACCCTAAGGAATCCTAAGGAATCGTAAGGAATCCTAAGGAATCGAAGCACTTCTGAAGAAGAAAGAAGTACTTCTGAAGAAGAAAGAAATACTTCTGAAGAAGAAAAAAGTACTTCTGAAGATCCCATGGTCGTAATTGGTCCCATGTATGGTTGCAATTCGCTCCGAACGGTTGGAATTGGGACTAGTCGGTTGTAATTCGTCCCATTTCGGGGGGAGGGGCGGGGGGAGGAGGAGAGAGGGAGGGAGGGAGGAGGGGGAGGGGAGAGAGGCAGGCCGGAGAAACGCGAGGAGCCACAACCACAGATGGCCCTCCTCCTCCTCCTCCTCCTCCTTTTCCTCCTCCTCCTCCTCCTCCTCATGCGCCTCCTCGCGATCCGTCTGGCCCCTATGGGCCGCCAGGCATAGCAGAAAACCGAAACCCCGACACAAACTGAATCCATAGTTTCTCTGATGAAGAAAGAACGGCACGAGCGGATCGCGTCGAAGGCCCGCGCGGATTTTTTCGACTCGCGCCGGGCCGCTTGGGCGACGCCTTCGTACGCCAGGCAGGGAGGGGTCCAGCGCGATCCAAGGAAGCTGTGCGGGCCCTCGGATCTTGTAGGTTTCGGGGAGTTGGGTCCAGAGGCTTCTCGCCGCTTTCGGGCTCAGAGGGGCCCTCCTCGCGCCACGGGACTGTCAAACACCAGCTCAGAGAGAGAGAGAGAGAGAGAGAGAGAGAGCTGGCCCCCGGGGGGGAGGCCCGGGGTCCAGGGCCCGCTCTCTTTGGGACCCGCCCCCCTGTCATGCCAAAGAAGCGGGGGTCAGCCACAATGGGGGCCCATGCCGAGAAACGCCCTGCTTGCCTCCAGGGTGCCCTGGGTTTCTTGGGCGTCGATGCCTTTGCCATGGGAAGCGCGACGTTCCCACGCCAACAAACATCTACGGACGTCCTGGGGTCTGAGGGTTGGGTTTCTTGTGGAAGGGTCCTTGTGGTCGAGCCCCTGCTGCACTCCCCCCGAGCCGCGCGAGCGAAGGAAGAAGACGGGGTCGGCTGCGCAGTCGAGCGCTCTCTTTTTTATCAGCGCGGTGCGCCGCGCTGGCGGCCCGCGCAGGCAGCGGCGTGAGAAGGTCGCCGTCTCCTCTTGCGTGTAAGGACCGGGGACCAAAACACACAGACACAACTCATCGTCGATTCCCAGGGAAAGTATGCGAAACTATGGGGAAGTGGGGAGGAAGACGAAACTCCAAAATATATGGAACAGATTGGGAATCCCGGGATTTGTGTGTATTTATTTGTGTCCCTGGGCCCCTTCAGTTTCTCTCCGTCGCCAAGGTTAGCGACGCAAGCAAACGGGATCGCCTGCGCCGACATTGGCGCGTAAGCTGCCCGCGTAAGGTCGCGCGTAGGCAGCCTCGCTTCAAATGTGGCGTGCCGCGCGGGCGGCCCGCGCAAGCCACCGCGTAAGGTCGCTGTGCCATCTCGCGTAATACCCGTTTTTGACCGTCGCCCACGTGGAGATCCCAGGCACCCGTCGTCATGTCTTTTCACGACGTTGCCCCTGGAGGTCTCGACCGATTCCCCAGGACCGGCTGGCTCTTCATCCCATGCCCTTTTTTTGGCGGCCCCGGGGCCCGGCGAGGGCCCCCTGGGACCGAGAGCAGCCAAACACCTCCCGCCGTGCTTCTTTCTTCACGACGCGAGGGGGTCCGGGGTCTGGGGTAGATCGGAGGGAGGAGATGCGACACCAACACCACCAGGGGGGCCACCTCCAGCGAGGAGGTCCACGATACCTCCCCGAGCTGGAGGCTGGGGATGTCTCGAGCGAGGGGGGGGGGACCACACCACCTGGGACAGCCCCCTGCTCCTCGCATCTCCTCGCCCTGGTGGTGTTGACGTCGCCTGTCCTTGCTCCTGGGATCAGGCGATCGCAAGCATGGATCAAGGGGGCCTGGATTGGCGACGGGCCCCGCTTCCATGGGACACCGCGGATGTCCGCCGCCGAAAGAGGCGGCACTGGCCGCATTTTGGGGAGGGCACCTCCCCCCGAATCCATGCATTTGGCGACCGTGCGCCAAGCCCATGGACCGCTGATCCCTGTCTGTGCGCCCCCGATTAGAATTAGGTCGGGCATGTCCCCCTGCAGGCGTGGGCGAAAAATGAAACATGCCCCCAGCATATGCAATCAAACATAGTGAAACATACGCAGACATCGTCCCCCGATTGTTTTCTGAAGCTGTTTCTGAACATTCCTCCTGTAGACGGACAGGCCCGACTCCAGATCAGGAGAGGGCCCCCCCCTCCGGCCGCCGACCCCGGTCCGGGAGCCACCTCGAGGCGGGCGCCCGGGCTCCGGCGCGCGCCCCCCGTGGGCGCAGCCCCGGGGGGCCCCCGGGGGCGGGCGGCCATGGCGCCCTCGGCGGGGCCGTCGAGGCTGCAGAAGGCGTCGTACGTCGCAGGCCGCGGGGAGGGGTCCCTCGCTCGCCGGCGGGCTGCTGTCGGGCGTGTGCCTCCACAGGAGGAGCAGATGGTTGGCCCGATGGTTGGCCCGAGGGTTGGCCCGATGGTTGTCCCGAGGGTTGGCCCGATGGTGTCCCGGTCCCGATGGTGGACTCCTGAGGGTGGATACAGAGATAGATAGATGCATAGATAGATCGGAGGTTGGGGTGTGTGAGCGGAAGTGGCCCCATACGGGGAATTGGTTTCGGTTTCGGTTCGTGTCGTGCGTGCGGGCGAAGTTAAGCTGCGCGAGTGCCTGCACTGCCAGAGGCCACATGGAGCCTAAAAGGTCGCCCGCCCCCCCCCTTCTGGCGCGGCCCCATATGGTTGTCCCGCGGGTTGTCTTGATGGTTGTCTTGATGGTTGTGCCGTGGTTGTCCCGATGGTTGTCTTGATGGTTGTCCCGATTGTCGTCCAGATGGTTGTCCCGAGGGTTGTCCCGATGTTCGTCCCGATGGTCGTCCCGATGGTTGTCCCGATAGTTGTCCCGATGGTGTGCCCAGTGGTTGTCCTGTCGTTTGTCCCGATGGTTGTGGCGATGGTTGACTCGATGGTTTTCCCGATGGTTGTCCCGATGGTTGTCCCGATGGTCGTCCAGATGGTTGTCCCGATGATTGTCCCGAAGGTAGTCCCGATGGTTGTCCCGATGGTTGTCCCGATGGTTGTCCCGATGGTTGGCCCGATGGTTGTCCCCATGGTTGTCCCGATGGTTGTCCCGACGTTTGTCCCGATGGTTGTCCCGATGGTTGTCCCGATGGTTGTCCCGATGGTTCTCCCGATGGTGTGCCCGATGGTTGTCCAGTCGTTTGTCCCGATGGTTGTCCCGATGGTTGACTGGATGGTTGTCCCGATGGTTGTCCCGATTGTTGCCCCGATTGTTGCCCCGATGGTTGTCCCGATAGGTAGCTAGATAGATGGACTGGTTGATGGATCGACTCGATAGGTATATATATATATATTGATTGGTTGGTATATTGATCGGTAGGGTTGCCCCGATGTTTGTCCCGATAGGTAGGTAGGTCGATAGATAGACTGGTTGATGGATCTACTCGATCGATAGATATATGATACATTGATTGGTTGCTGGATGGATGGGTCGACTGATTGGTGTGTCGACCCGATCGACATATACATGTATATTTATATATGTATACATATGTATATATATATATATATATATATATATAGATCGATGGATGGATAGAAGCGCGGAACGACACATACATATATATATATATATATATTCATATACATTTGAGTTAGAAGCAAGAGGAAGTAGGTGGTATTGCTTTGCCCGCGTACTTTTTGGTGGCGGCAGGTGGGAGTCATCGCACATTGACCGCCTCCCCCTCCCCCCCAACCTCCTTATCACCGTAGGGTGGCCCTACGGGTATTCAAAGCTATTCAAAACTAGAAATGGGGACGTGCCTCGTTTTTCTTTTTTTGTTGTTTTTGTGTTTGTTTTTTACCTGTTGAAAAAAGAGCTATTGCTGTGGCTATTGCATCGGTTTTCTCAAACATATGCCCGTAGGAGGACATGCCCGACCTGACGGCAGAGGGGGGCGGGGCGTGGCGGCAGAGGGTGGGGCGGCGACGGCAGAAGGGGCCCGAGCAGAGCGGCCACGCGCAGAGGAGGCGCAACACAGTCGGGCCGAGGCCCAAGACCGAGGTCTCGGGGCCTAAGAGACGGGGGTCAGTGCAAACGGGGGTCAGCCAGGGCACCGGATCCTGCAGGATCCTGCGAAGGCCCCCCCTGGCTGACCCGGGTCAGGGAGCCGCTCGGCGGCCGCGAGGCGGCCGCGCGTATTGGCTGACCCGGGTTTGCGAGGACCTGCGTTGCATTTTTTTTTTTTTTTTCCTGCATTGCAGTTTTTGGTTTCCTGCTGGCCCGCGTTTGGATTGACCCGGGTCAGAAGATCCCCGAAGGTTGGTTTTCAAGGCGGGTCTCCCAGTGCTCCTCGTGCTTGTTGGGCAAGCTTGTGCACCCATGGGGGGGGGGTATCCCTGGATGTCCTGCGTGTCTTGGCCGGCGGAGGGTCTCACGTTTTTGAGGGTGTTCTTTTGGCTTAGGTCCGACTGTAGTTATCCTCATCATCATTATTATCATCCTCATCGTCGTCGTCATCATCATTGTCATCGTCATCGTATCGCCATCGTCATCGTCATCGCCATCGTCATCGTCATCGTCATCGCCATCATCCGCATCATCCTCATCATCATGATCACCATCGCCATCGCCATCAACATCATCATCATCATCATCATCATCATCATCATCATCATCATCATCATCATCATCATCATCATCATCATCATCATCATCATCATCATCATCATTATCATTATCATCATCATCATCAGCATCAGCATCAGCATCAGCATCAGCATCAGCATCATCATCATCATCATCATCATCATCATCATCATCATCATCATCATTATCATCATCATCATCATCATCATAATCGTCATCATCGTCATCATCGTCATCATCACCATCCTCATACAACGACTTGTCGGCATTATTGGTCTATCCGTGGCCGCAACACCTTTGCTCAAGTTCTTGAGGGTATGCAGGCCCAGCTCGAACGCCTCGCCCACGACCTCAGCAGTGCGGTCACTACTGCCATCATGGTGCGTGGGAGTTCGACCCCGTGCCCTGATTGTGTGTGCTCGCTTGCGCTTCGCTGTCCCGCCTCGGAGTGCCATTGCCCCAGCGGCGAGGAGCAGATCTCGCCGACCTCGCCTTCGGGGTGGTCGGCGGAGTTCCTTGTCGTGCTGGTGCTGCTGGCCTTCTTCCACGGTGTCCTCGTCGGCGGGCTCTATTTCAACCAGACGCCGACCTCGGCCTCCAAAGTGCTTGTGGAGCGAGGTAAATCGAGCACCTCCGCCTCGGAGGAGCTCATCACCACCCTCGACATTGCGGCGGCAGCGGCCGCCCAGGCTCGTAGCTTTCGCCGCTGAGAGTCATCATGGCGATCCCTCGTCCTGGTCAGTTCCACCTGGTGCGGTACAACGTTGGTGGCCCTGCCATCTACCGCGAAAGATTGACCCTCTTGCCTGGATATATTTTGACGCCCGATGGCGACGACTACCCCGAGAGCGGCGTCGTAGGCGTGGATCTCCGCTCGGTGCACCTCCTCGTGGGCCAGGGCGAAGGGCTGCGTGGAAATCCCGCGAAACGCCTCTGTCAGTTTCGGCAGCTCCCACGCGCGGCAGATGTTTGGGCAGCTCTTCGAAGAGGGATCGCACAGGGGCATGGGCCCCTTCCCGCCTCGCCCTTTAACCTGGAACTCAGCGCGACCAGCGTCCTGGGCGTAGCGGTAGGGGGCCTGGCCTTGCCCGACCCGCTGGCGCCAGCCCCCCCGCCTGCCGCGCTGCCCGCACTGGCCGCGCCGCCCGCCACAGCCGCACCGCCAGTCGGCGGCGGCCTTGGCGCGCTGGCCGCCGCGCTCGGGGGCGGGGCCCTTGCGCCCGCGGCGGCCGCAGCTGCCCCTGCGGGCGCCGGCGGGGCTTCGGCCCCCCCCGCAGCGGCGGCAGCGGTCGGCGACCCCCGTGTGATGGCCCTCGTCCTCGACGGGCGGGGCCTACGCGACTTGAGCTTCGGCGACGCGCTCAAGCTCCAGACCGAGACCGACCGCGCCGACTGGCCCGTGAAGGGGCCCAGGACCATGCTCTGGGTGCTCGGTTTTGTGCAGCGCATGGCTGGCGGATCAATGGCCTGGCACGCCCGATGGCTGGCGACGATGCAGCTCGGCGAGCATGATGAGAGCGTCAAGCTCCACGAGGCGATGTGCCGTGTGATCGAGACCGTGCCGTGCCGCGACCAGATTGCGATCTGCGAGCTCGCCTCTTTCGAGTACCTGGCCCGCCAGCTCCAGCTGGTCGAGGAGCGGGCCTTCGAGGAGCGCGCGCGGAAGACGCAGCCAGCGTCCAAGGCGAAGGCGCAGGCCAAGGAGGCCAACCCGACCGACTTCGCCTCGGAGGTCGGGCACTTCCCCGGCACGGGCGAGGCGAAGGGCAACCCGTGTATCAGTCTTGCCCCGAAGGATTGGATGGCAGATCAGATGAAGAACGAGGCCGCAGTGGCGAAAGAACGACGCAAGGCTCGCGAGGAGCGAGCCTTGCGGGCCCCATGACGCGCCCCCATGACTGGCCAGGATGGGCCTCCCGAGCACGCCGTTCCCGCTCGAGAGCCTGGTCAGCTACGCCCAGGGCCCTTGAGGGCCCCGCCTGGTCTAGAGTCGCCCAGAAGCGATGATCATTGCCAGCGCGATGTTTTCCTCTACCCCTTCTTCCCGTGGATGGTCGACGCCCTGCTCGCCTGCGCGCCGCCAAAGGCGCGGGCTGGAGGGGGTGGTGCAACGAGGGGTTGACCGCTCTCAACTGGCCCCACTGCGGCAAGGACGAGCTATGCGAGCCCAGGGGCAGCGTGCACGCGCCCGCGGTGCAGGCAGCCTCTGCGGAGTACCTTGCGGACCGGCACCGCGAGTTCGAGCTGCCCGCCGCCTACTCGGAGAGGGGCAGCGCCTGCGAAGCATCCCTCGAAGAGATGCTCGCCCGGGCACCTGGCTACGCTGGCGACAGCGGTCGAGTGCGCCCCTACAGCAAGCCTCCTGTGGCCTGTCCCGAGTCGACGAGGGCTGTCTCCACCGCCTGCGTCGTCTCCGAGGCCGACTCCATCGTGCTGCAGGGTTGGAGGCAGAGTGTGCTGGATCCCGATTCGATCGCGGCGGAGCTTCGTGAGTTTCTGGGGGTGGTGCGCCCCTGCGTGGATCCTGAGTTTCGCCGTCGGCCCAGGTCGTGCGCCCAGTTTTTGAAGCAGCTGGAGGCCCGCGACATGATGTCGTGGCAGGCCGCCAGCCCACAGACTTCCTTTTTCAATTGGTTTGTTCTTTGTGGAGAAGTCCAACCACGCGCCCAGGCTCGTCGTCGACACTCGGCTGGCCAACTGCAGTTT